AAACAGAGAATAAGATGGCATTTGTAAAGGGCTGAACGAAGGAGAAAATGGGCAGTGGTTTCAAGTGTATTGAGTTTTAATTTTGTAAGATAAAAATGTTCTAGAGATACCTCGCATAATGTCAATATGCTTAATAAGTCTAAACTATATAATTATTATCACTGTAAATTATTGTAAAATTGCAAATAATTGCCAATTTTATGTGTTTCTTGTAACAATGTAAACAACAATAATACCTAAGGGAGACAGAGTTATAATGCATTTCAATAATTACCTTCAGGTCCTCGGCAAAACCTGAGTCCTTTCCTCTCGCTTTCCTCCCCAGACAGCACGAGCTTCCCCACTCGCTCCGCACCTTCTCCATCAACTGCGGGTCCCTGGGATCTGTCCAGTCGCCCAGCTAAAGTGCCCAGCAGGTCAGCAGCGCGGCCAGCTTCTATACAGGTGCTAGGGGCTGGGGCTCCTGGATCTCTGTGTCCCATTCCACCAACTTCCGCGACAACTTGGGGTCTGTGGTCCTAGCTGCAGCGATTGCCAGGGGTCTGGCGAGTAAGAGGGGTATCCAGAATGAGAAGGAGATCATGCAAGGCCTGAACAACTGCCTGGCCTCCTACCTGGACAGAGTGAGGAGCCTGGAAACTGAGGATCGGAAGCTGGAGAACAAAATCCGGGAGCACCCGGAGAAGAAGTGTCCCCAGGTCAGAGACTGAAGGCATTACTTCAAGACCATTGAGGACCTGAGAACTCAGATCTTTGCCAACTCCGTGGACAGTGCCTGCATCATCCTTGAGATTGAAAATGACCATTTTGCTCCTGATGACTGTAAAGTGTGAGACAAAGCTGGCGATGTGCCAGTCTGTGGAGAGTGACATCACTGATAACATCAGTGTCACTCAGCCGCTGCTGGAGACAGATATCGAGGCCTTCAAGGAAGAGCTGCTCTTCATGAAGCACCATGAGGGGGAAGTTAAAGGTCTACAAGCCCTTATTTCCAGCTCTTGGTTGACCATGGAGGTAGACGTCCCCAAGTCTCAGGATCTTGGCAAGATCATGGCAGGCATCCAGGCCCAATACGACGAGATGGCTCAGAAAAACTGAGAGGAGCTTGACAAGTACTGGTCCCAGCAGACTGTGGAGAGGACCACAGTGGTCACCATGCAGTCCCCTGAGATCGGAGCTGCTGAGATGATGCTCAGGGAGCTGAGAAGTATAGGCCAGTCCTTGGATATCGACCTGGACTCGATGAGAAATCTGAAGGCCAGCTCGGAGAACAGCCTGAGGAAGGTAGATGCAGATGGAGCAGCTCAACAGGATCATGCTGCATCTGGAGTCAGAGCTGGCACAGAGCCGGGAAGAGGCGCATCAGGTCCAGTAGCACGAGGCCCTGCCGAACATCAAGGTCAAGCTGGAGGCTGAGATTGCCACCTACTGCCACCTGCTAGAAGACGGGGAGGACTTCAGTCTTGGCAATGCTCTGAACAGCAGCAAATACTTGTAAAGCATCCAAAAGACCACCACCCGCAGGACAGTGGAGAGCAAAGTGGTGTCTGAGACCAACAACACCGCCGTTTTGAGGTACTGAGCCAGCAGAAGCAAGGTCTCTTTGGGGAGCAGGAGGCCAATAAAAAGTTCAGAGGTCAAAAAAAATTACCTTCAAATCACAGAAGTGTTTCCTTCACACAAAAGTAATAGAGATTCATTAATACATAGATGTGAAAATTAGGACAATTTCCACAACTACTCACCCAAAGAGGATTTAAAAAAAAATTGACTACCAACTAATAAAAGAAATACACAAGTAATAAATAAAGTGTTAGCAATGTTTATACAGACAGACGAACAGAGAATTATGTTGGCAATAGATGTATGGTTGATTCATATTTGACTTTTTTTCTATACCCTCTTAAAGTGTACACAGTTGGATATAGTTATACAAAATTATAATATATAGGCAGAATCTAAAAATACAGTTAAATGATGTAAGGCAGCCTATCCTAACAAGGAAATACAGGAATATAAAATATTACAAAACAAAATTAAATAAACATTAACCTGTGAAATACCAAATTAAAAAAAGCATACAAGTGAAGAAGACTCTTTCTAGATAACTACAATGTTCAATCATAACTGGGCACCCATAAAGAGCAGATTTTGAATTATTAGCATATGGTTAGAGTAACAAAATTTCACAACAAATGCATTATCATCTCCCATAAAGAGCATTTAGAAGATAATTTTTAAAAAAGATTTCAATGATATTACAGACACTTTTTATTATGTTCTTAATATATTACTCTTCTTTTTATACAAATGGAAAGGCTATGATTTATTTTTTATTTTATTTTATTGTATTGTATTTTTTGAGACAGATTCTCACTCTGTCACCCAGCTGGAGTGCAGTGGTGAGAACTCAGCTCACCACAACCTCTGCCTCTGAGGTTCAAGCAGTTCTCTGCCCCAGCCTCACAAGGAGCTGGGATTGCAGGCGCCCGCCACCACACCTGGCTATTTTGTTTTGTTTTGTTTTGGGTTTTTTTTAGTTTTAGTAGAGACGGGGTTTCACCATGTTGGCCAGGCTGGTCTTGAACTCCTAACCTCATGATCCACTGACCTCAGCCTCTTAAAGTGCTGGGATTACAGGCGTGAGCCACTACACCAGCCTATAATTTATTTTTTTAAAAGCAAAGAAAAGCCTTGCATTTTAAAATATGGGAACAACATGAATATTGGAAAATGTGCTATGGAACACTACTATATAATAAGCAATTAGAAATAAATTATACTGTCATTCAGATAAATGCTGAGGAAAGTAAATGGAAACACTAATGATAAGTTTTTCTATGCAGTAAACGTAGACACACAAACGAAAACTTTTCTTAATGTGATGTGCATACTATCTAATTCACTTTTTATATAACACATAAATTCAAGTATGCTATTCTGAAACCCCTGAAGCTAAAATTGTGGACTAACTTGGCATAAATAAAAATAGGAGAGGCAAAATGTACAGATAGTAGTCCCATTAAGCTTTATATACAATTAATTAATAAAATAACTCATTAAGAAATAATGTAAAAATTAAGAATTTATTCTATTCTTGGCAAGTTTCTAAGTTTTTCTATGGCATTAAGGTCTTTAAAAATTCTTTGAGATGAGTAGATACAATAAACTATTCCACAGGTGAGGGGCTTGGCCTAGGGAGTTCACATTTCTAAGTTAGTTCCTACTAAGGAAAAGAAAACTTTTTGATCTACCTTACCAGAGATGACAAAAAGAGTAAAGTGAAATGGAAGATTCAACTTTATCATGTGCTGAGTTGCTTTGGGCTCTGACAAAAGATTTTTCTGATTTTTTTGCAGGATCACATTTGAAGTCATAGGACTGAAAGTTATGAAGCAGAAACATTTGTCCTTGGTATTTCTGAAATACGTGAACCAAACCCCAATATCTGCACTTTTACTCTCATAAACTTCTGACATGAGGCACAGATTTTTAAAAAATAACTTAATATGGAAATCTCACAAAATATGCAGATTTCCCCAGATCCCCCAAAACAATGGAAAAGCACTCAGACCACAAGGCCTTCACCAGAATAACGGAAAGAAGAGGAGAACTTTGGCTCTCACTGTGAACGCCCTGGAAGATTAGTGGAGGCACAAGGGAAGCCTTAGAATATTGAAGGGAATAGCAAGCATAGAGTAGAAAATTTCCATCTGTGGTAGCAAAAGAAGTAAATCTAGGATTTTCCAGAACCAATTTCATTGAAGTGGAACCTCCAACACCACATTTTTAAAGTTTCCCCCTTGGCCTTTGCACCTCTCATCTTTGTTATTTGTTCATTCTTTCCTATTGGGGTGATACCTACTATTCTCTGTCTTTTTACATTCCAAAGATATTTCCTTTACTGTAGAACAAGGGCATCCAAGGGAGAATACAGCCACAAGTTCTTAGTCTCTATCTCCGGCATCACTGATAACACCAGTGTCACTCAACTGCTGAGTGAACCAGTAAGGCCCTTTCCTCATCCCCCTTTCCACTTATTACTAGAGACAGAACATAAATGTATGACTGCAGGCTGCTAAAAGCCTAAAACAAAACAGAACCATAACAACCACAAAATAAGGTGGGTTGGAAAAACTTGCTATACAAAGCAACCAGGTCTGGCTTATATTTATCACATCCCTTCTTCTTTCCCAAAACAGCAATTGGGCTCAAGAGAAAATGTTCAACTTTTAGTATTTCCCTCAGTATAGAATGAGAACAGTGAAACATATTTTCAAAGGTTTGGCTTTTTTGGGCTATTGCTGATGATGACTAGATTCTGTCTCCTCCAATAGGGAGTGCTAAAGGAAATGATCGAGTAGTGAGGATGACAATTGATGACTACTGAGAAAAGAAGTTGCATGCTTATCACAGCATCCGAGAAACAAACACTGCAATCAACTGCGGAAGCAAAGGACTACAGTGTCTGGAAAACAATGGGAAAAATACCTGTACCTTAAAAATACACACACAAGCCCAGAGAAGACACATCGAAGACCCTGTTAATGAAGCACCAAAATGTACAGCCTCACTGATTGCTGTATTATCTTGTAGTAAGAAAGTTTGTACATACTACAATACACAGTTGTTTTATAAATTTCTGAGTATCATCAGAAGATTGGGGGGCATACAGAGAAGTCAGAAAACATGTCCCAATTGAAGAAATAAAATAAACCTACAAATATTTACCTTTTAAAATCTTTGTTGACCTTTAAAGGTCAAAATTTGTAGGTTTATTCTTTTGTTGTTATTGTTGTTGTTGTTGTTGTTACATTATATAATTTAAAAAATCAAAATAATTATCAAAGCTCTTTAATGAGACCGGCACTCCTCCAGTCCCCAGGGCCCTGGCAAGGGAGGAGCCTCGAGACCGTGCGGGACACCCAGGTGGACCCCCAGCCCATGCCCAAAGCTCAGAGCAGGAGCAGGGACCTGGCTGCACCGGGCCAAAGCCGCCTCCACCGGCAGTGGTAGCGGACTCCGGGCGCTCCAGAACTGGGTTCATGATGAGATTTGTTGATTGCGCGATGGTGGCTGAGTTGCAAGCAAACGGGTTTCATCACTTTAAATGGTTTTCAACCAATGAAGCTGTATTCCCTTAAAAAGATGGACAGCCCATCGTGTGAACTATAGAGTTTGTGAACAAATTTATATTGGGTTCATAGTGGCATCATACACGCAGACTCCTGCGAGTTCCCGTAAGTTCTTAGAGGACTGCTTTGCCTTTTGATCTGAGAGTTGCAAAGTTTGGTGAAGAATGGCCCTTGTGGACAAGCACAAAATCAAGAGAGAGCAATTGGACAGAATTTGTGAAGGAATTCGTCCCCAGATCACGAAAGGCCCCCTGCATCCCCGCCCCGTGGTGGCGCTGCTGCACGGCTGTGACTGCACTGTGTACATGCCCATCCTGAAGGACCTGGCCACCGTGGCCTTGTGTGATGCACAGTCCAGGCAGGAGATTCACAAGAAGGTTCTAAATGGAGCCGTGGGCACCATGATGTACCACACCATCACCCTCACCAGGGAGGGCCTGGAAAAGTTCAAGGCCCTCAGAGTGATCGTGTGGGTGGGCAGTGGCTAGGACTAAGGAAGGAGACCACTACCACTTCTGCTGCCCTCCTCCCCCGACCTTGCCTAGTTCACAAGACAGTAGGAAAGACAGAAAGAAACAAAAGTAAGATAAATAGCCAGACAACCTTGGCACCACCACCCGGCCCTAGGAGTTAAAAAAAGTAATAATAATAACATCAACTCCTGACATAAACTACTTATGTTATCTGTAAATCCCGGACACTGTATGAAAAAAAAAAAAAAGCACTGTAAAACTTTCTGTTCTGTTAGCTGATGCACGTAAGTGCCAGCCACGTTTTCCCATGCTTGCTCGATTTATCACGACCCTTTCACGTGGACACCTTAAAGTTGTAAGCCTTTAAAAAGGTCAAGTATTTCTCTTTTGGGGAGCTCAGCTCTTAAGACGTGAGTCTGCTGACACTCCCGGCCAAATAAAAAAACCTCTTCCTTCTTTAATCCGGTGTCTGAGTAGTTTTGTCTGCAGCTCCTCCTGCTACATTTCTTGGTTCCCTGACCTGGAAGCAGCTGATTATGCACGGTGGAGGCAGCCCCTTAGGCAGCTTATGCCTGCCCTGTAGAGCATCCCTGAGGGGGACTCTGGCCAGCTTGAGCGATGCGGATCCTGAGAACCTCCCAGGTAGGCATTTGCCCCGGTGGAACTCTCCTCAGAGCAGTGCACAGCAGGCCCCCGTGGAGGATCAACACAGTGGCTGAACACCGGGAAGGAACTGACAATTTAAGTCCGGACATCTGAAACTTGGTAAGACTGGTGTTTGGAACTTGCCCACTCCATTTGAGTGAAAGCACGGCCTGATCACCCATGGCGTGGCTGTACTGGCACTTTGGTTTTCGTTTTTGACTTGACTTGAATTAATTGCTTGATACTTTGGTTTTAGTTTGGATTTTGACTTGACTTGAATTGCTTGATAAACAGGCATGCCTTTATTGGCACTTTGGTTTTGGTTCTGATTTTGGTTTGGCTTAAATTGCTTGACAAACAGGTGTGCCTTTAACAACACTTTGGTTTTAGTTTTGATTTTGATTTACTGTCAATTAGATGAGTGAGTGATTTTTTACCCTTTCCTTCTGGTAATGTGAATGTTGTTTTGTCTCGGGAGAAAAAATAGGTCAGACACAAACCTACTCCACTTGGAACTGTGTTAAAACATTTCAAAAAGAAAAATTTCAAAAAAAATAAAAGGAAAGTCAGGCCGGGCGCGGTGGCTCAAGCCTGTAATCCCAGCACTTTGGGAGGCCGAGACGGGCGGATCACGAGGTCAGGAGATCGAGACCATCCTGGCTAACACAGTGAAACCCCGTCTCTACTAAAAATACAAAAAAAATTAGCCGGGCGAGGTGGTGAGCGCCTGTACTCCCAGCTACTTGGGAGGCTGAGGCAGGAGAATGGCGCGAACCCGGGAGGCGGGGCTTGCAGTGAGCTGAGATCTGGCCACTGCACTCCAGCCTGGGCAACAGAGCCAGACTCCGTCTCAAAAAAAATAAATAAATAAAAAAATAAAAGGAAAGTCATCAAATCATCAAAACTTACTCTATTAAAATGCATGTTACAGAACCTTAAGAAAGGTTTTGCAGGAGATTATAGAGTTAAGTTAACCCCTTAGAGGTTAAGATCTCTGTGTGAATTAGAACTGCCCTCTTTTGGTGTTGGATGTCCCACCGAAGGAACTATAGACAAGGAACAATTGGCCATGTATTTAAGGTGGTGACAGGGATCGGAGGACAACCAGGGTATCTAGATCAAATTCCTTTATATTGACTCACGGTTAAATATAATATAGACAAAACCAGCATAAATTTAGCCCTGTTTAACAGCTTATTGCAAAAAAGCCGAAAGGAAAAGTAAGAGCAGCTTCACCAGCAGACACGGAGTTAAAAAGGGAGTCCCAGAAACAGCAAGAGAAGCTAGTTTTGTGAGAGCTGCCAGAGATCACAGAAATTGTTTCTCCATATGTGCAAGCCTACCCCGCTTTACTGAGGCCAACAGCCCCTCAGAAATGAGATTCAGGAGCTAACACGCCCCAGGTTTCACCTCAAAGGGGGGGATCAGAGCCTTGAGAGGCCAAGGAAGCTAAGACAGTCAAGTGGGCCATCTCAGAGCTGGTCTTGCTCAAGCTATGCAAATGCCTCTCAGGGAGATGCGAGGACCTGTCTATTATAATGACCAGGCACACATCCGGCGGGGAGCAACAGACTTTCATCTATCAGCCCTTTTCAATCATTGATTTACTAAACTGGAAACACCCTAAACCCCACCACCTTGCTCCTGGCAGCTAAAGCCCTAGTCGAGCATGACTGTGTAGAGGTGTTGGACTCAAGTTTACTTTAGCAGACCTGAACTCTGGTACAAGCCTTGGGCATCAGTACACTAGGAGCTATGCGTGGATGGGAACAGCTTCATCAACCCACAAGGAGAGAGATGTGCAGAATATGAGGTGGTAACCCGGAACACTGTCGTTAAGCTGGGCTCATTGCTTTAATTCAGGCCTTAGAACTCAGTAAAGGTAAGAGTGTAAACATTTACACTGACTCTCGGTATGCCTGTGTAGCCCTCCAAGTGCATGGAGAATTATATAAAGAAAAAAGCCTGTTAAACTGTAGGAAAAAGGGGGAAAAAAGACCCAGAGAATGCAACTCAGCATCAGCATTTGCAAAGGTACTGAGAAGCACTTCTGCAGAGGCTAAGAGTTGGTAGAAAAAAGCAAGTAATATAAAAAAGATTCTAGGAATGCTTCAAGGAGCTGACAAGAGCCTAAGTCAGTTTTATAAGAGACTCTATAAAGCATTCTGGCTTTACCCCCCATTTAACCCTGAGACTGCTGAAAATCAGTATATAGTGAATACTTCATTTGTAAAGTAAGCCCATGGTAACATCAAGCAGAAGCTGCAGGCATGAATACCACCTAGTCTATAAAAGTGGCCATCGAGGTGTATGTTAACTGTAACCAAGAAACAAAACTGGGAAAGAGCAACAGAAAAAAAAAAAAAAAAAAAAAAAGACCAAGAGTAAGTGTAAAAAAAGAGAAATTAGCAATGTGAGAGGACATGGACGTGGATGTAGATATGAAAGAAGGCACATTAGGCAAGGATTCAAGAGCTAGACAAGGCTAGAGAGAGATTTATGTGTGAGATGTAAAAAGAAAGGACACTAGAAGGGTAAATGTTCAAAAAGACAATAAAGGAAATGGCCAAGGCCACAAGAAAAAGAGGCCATCGGCCAAGGGCTGCTGCACCTTGGAGGAACCAAATACTGATCTGATCAGACTGATAGGAGCTGAAGAATATAAAGACTAGGGCAGACTACGCACCTTCTCATTAGGCTCCCAGGAGCCCATGGTCACATTAGAAGTTAAAAGCAGGCCGGGCGCGGTGGCTCAAGCCTGTAATCCCAGCACTTTGGGAGGCCGAGACGGGCGGATCACGAGGTCAGAAGTTCGAGACCATCCTGGCTAACACGGTGAAACCCCGTCTCTACTAAAAAATACAAAAAACTAGCCGGGTGAGGTGGCGGGCACCTGTAGTCCTGGCTACTCGGGAGGCTGAGGCAGGAGAATGGCGTAAAAACCCGGGAGGCGGAGCTTGCAGTGAGCTGAGATCCGGCCACTGCACTCCACCCTGGGTGACACAGCGAGACTCTGTCTCAAAAAAAAAAAAAAAAAAAAAAAAAAAAAAGAAGTTAAAAGCAGTAAGATTCTGCCGTATCTGGATTCCAATTTCTCACTGAAGGCTAAGCCACTAAATAGAGTTACAAAGGGGGGTTGGGGGGAGAAAAACCCCTCCTCTAAGAAACAAACAGGAAAAAGAGCCATACCTTGTGAAAACTTGCTTATAGACTTTACAGAACTGCCCTATGCTGGAAGCTATTGGTACATGCTAGTGCTTGTTTGCTCATTTAAACTAAAATCAGGTTTTTGCCTATAGTCCTCCTCCAAGTCAGGTGCACCCTCACCAAACAAACTAGGTATTTGCCCTATAAGATTTTGTTTGGTCGGCTACCCCCAAATCATAAGTTAAAGATGACCTCCAGAAACTAAAGAAATTAACCTTAAGAAATAAAATGCAGGTTTAAAAACATAATCATAGTGTTCATAATTAAATAAATGAAAATGTCTATAAGCCTGACACCGCTTTAAATCTAGTGACTCTGTTTAAACTAAAACCTAATTTTTCTACAACCCATATAGGATGAGCCCTATACTGTAACCTTGTCCACTTCCACTGCTGTTAAATTTGCAGGTGTTGCGTCTTGGATCCACCACAGTCAGCTAACACCGGCAGCTCAGGACAAGTGGATCGACCAACAGGACACAGATCATCCAACCCGGCTGATCCTCAGATGAGACCAAGCTGCTGCTGAGGACGACAGCCCTGTTCTGGTCACTCTGGAGGCTGACCAGTCTACGCACAGCTGAAGCTTGAGAACTCATCTAGCAAGTAAATGTAGTTAAAAATCTTAATAGTTTTCCTGCAATACTAACTCTTTTCCTATTGTTCTGTCACTGTGTTCAATCTTCTTCCCAGGTAAGGACCGCTTTTGTCCTTGTGGGATATGAATATGCTGTACATTGTTTTGTTGTTGTTACCCCCCCATAACCATGCTAGAAGAAACACCTATGTAAGGTGTCCCCACTGTACACGTACTGCTTAGGAAACCCAGACCCGTCCAGCCCAGCAACAATCGCAAGGTCTTTCAGTCATTCTTTAAACATATAAATCAGAAGTTACCAGAAACTCTTCCTTTAGCAAAAACAGAAAAAACCTATTTCCTCAGTTGGCTGAAAACATTGCTGACAGCCTGGATGTTTCTTCATGTTATATTTATTAAAAGGCTAATATAAGAGACCAATGGACTTGAGAAGCAAAAGAGTTAATGCCTCAAGATTACTTTAACTAACCCTTTCCCCAAACAGATGCCCCAAGTTCAAGCATCTGGCTCTTAAAAACTTCTGTTATTAAAAAATACTGTGTTACTCACTAAGAAAAAGCTTTTCAGACCCAGTGACAAAACTAACCTACTTAGAACATGACAAAGTTGATACATGTGCCTGTACAGGTTTAACACAGGTTTGATCCTAGGTCTTCATTTAGAAAATAGTTTCCAGCTATAAAAATTTAAAACCCTCATTATAATTATATCACTGGTAATAGAAACTTGCTTGCTGCTCCCCTGTGTATTACACTTGTTCCTTCCAATGATAAAAGGTATCGTAGCTACCACAGTTCATCAGAAAACTTCAGCACAAGTGTATTACATAAAACACTATCGCTCTGTCTCGCAAAAAGACTCAGAAAGTAAAAATAAAACTGAGAACTCCCACTAATTACTGAAAATTCTCAAAGTGGGGGATAAGGAAGGAAACCACTACTACTCCTACTGCCCTCCTCCCCCCACCTTGCTTAGTTCACAAGACAGGAGAAAAGAGAGAAAGAAACAAAAGTAACATAAATAGCCAGACAACCTTGGCACCACCATCCGGCCCTAGGAGTTAAAGAAAGTAATAATAATAACATCAACCCCTGACATGAACTACTTGTGTTATCTGTAAATCCCAGACACTGTATGAAAAACAAAAAACAAAAAACAAAAAAAACAGAACACTGTAAAACTTTTTGTTCCCTTAGCTGATGCATGTAGGCCCCAGTCACGTTTCCCACACTTGCTCGATTTATCACGACCCTTTCACGTGGACCCCTTAAAGTTGTAAGCCTTTAAAAAGGCCAAGTATTTCTTTTTTGGGAAGCTCAGCTCTTAAGAGGCGAGTCTGCCGAGGCTCCAGGCTGAATAAAAAACCTCTTCCTTCTTTAATCCAGTGTCTGAGGAGTTTTGTCTGTGGCTCCTCCTGCTACACGACGACGTGGACATCAAGGCTGCTAGTGAGCTCGTAATTGCTGTGTGCAACATCCCGTCTATAGCCATGGAAGAGACAGCGGACTCCACCATCTGCCACATCCTCAATATGTACTGGAGGAACACTTGGCTGTACCAGGCACTGCGGGAAGGCACGTGGGGTCAGAGTGTGGAGCAGATCCGAGAGGCGGCCTCGGGAGCGGCCTGCGTTGGTTGGGAGACACTGGGCCTCATCGGCTTTGGTGGCACGCAGCAGGCGTTTGCAGTTCCAGCCAAGGCCTTTGGATTCAGCGTCATATTTTACAACCTCTACTTGCAGGATGGGATCGAGGGGTCCCTGGGCATGCAAAGGGTCTTCACCCTGCAGGATTTGCTGTGTCAGAGTGACTGCGTCTTCTTGCACTGCAATCTCAACGAATATAACCACCACCTCATCAATGACTTTACCATAAAGCAGATGAGGCAGGGAGCATTCCTTGTGAACGCAGTCCGTGGTGGCCTGGTAGACGGGAAGGCCTTCGCACAGTCCCTCAAGGAGGGCAGGATACAAGGGGCAGCCCTGGACGTGAATGAGTCGGAGCCCTTTAGCTTTGCTCAGAGTCCATTGAAAGACGCCCCGAATCTCATCTGTACTCCTCACACTACCTGCAACAGCCAGCAAGTGTCACTGGAGATGATGGAGGCAGCTGCCACCGAGATCCACTGGGCCATCACAGGTCGCCTGCTAGGAAGCTTAAGAAACTGTGTGAACAAGGAATTCTTTGTCACATCAGCGCTTTGGTCAGTAGCAGACCAGCAAGCAATTCATTCAAGCATCGTGGGCGTGGCTTCAGGAGGACTTCCTGCAGCCATGGAAGGATCATCCCCGGAGGCATCCCAGTGACTCACAACCTCCCAACAGTGGCACATCCTTCCCAACCGCCCTCTCCCAACCAGCCCACAAAACACGGGGACAATCAAGAACACCCCAATGAGAAATTGCAGAGAATGCCGGCAGATTATCACTCAGATACACTTGGGAAAAAGAGACAGTGACAAATAGATGAAATAAGAGAAAAAGAATCTGACGGTCTTTTTAGCTGATTCTGGAAATATACATCATTGATGTTGCAGTGTTAAAACTACAAGAGCTGGAAAACTGAAGATATCGTTTGCTTATGGAAGCTCTGAAAGACTAGGGTGTGATTTATTAACGATCAACTTCTGTTATTGTGTGTTAAGTTTTTCACCTGTGCATCAAATCACAAATAATAAATAGAACTTTTTCCTTTATCAGTCCCTTGGCCACAGCAGGCCCTGAACACCTTGCTTAGAATGTTGCATCAAGAGTTCAAACATCAAAATAAAAACAATGAAGAAGAAATCCCCATCCTGTGACTTGAGTCCTTCAGTCTACAGGGACTGGTTGCCGCTTTTCGCTAATAGGAAGATGACATTACTAGAAAATGTGGAGTAAGCTGTTTGCCTGTGGTAGACACCTGCATGCACAGGGTTGAAGACAGTACCGGCTCCTGTACAGAGAAGCGTCTCTCACATCTGAACTGCATACTGAGTGGGCAAGTTGGTTGTAAGTTCAGTAAAAGCATCCGATAATGCAAGAAAAAAAAAAAAAGGTGTTTCCTAATGTCACAGGAAACACTTTTAATGCAACTTGTCAGATTGTCTATGAAAAAATCCACTTAGATACTGATAAAGTCTTCTTTTCTTCAAGTGGTTTTTTATACAAGAACACTTCACATGTATTGGATGTGACTGATTTTAACAAATCCTATTAGATTTGTATCAATTAGTTACATGTTCTATTCATAATCTTTTGTGAATCATTTGTCTTTTTGTTTAAAAAGATAGCCTATTTTGAGCCTTTGCATATGTACATTCCTATTTTTGTGACAAAATAAAAACTATAAAATTGTCCCAATCAGAAAAATAATGGCTATCAGAAGTATGTTTTGTTTAACGTAAGTTACTGTTACTGTATTTGTTTATTATAGAGGTGGACATTTAGCATTCGGTGCAGTTTTCAATCAAATGTAATTAGAAAAAACTGCTTAATGAACAAAACAGAACATAGACAAAAAAAGAATATTAGAAGACGTGATGCATGAAGAAAATGAGATATCAATAAAAAGATTTTTAAAAATCAACAGAAATTGTGAATCTGAAGAACACAATAACTATATTAAAAATTTAATCAATAATCACAAAAGCAGACTTAATAAAGTGGAAAAAAATAGACAATTGATGACATTGTACTTATTAATACTGAGTCGTGAAAACAAATTTTTTTAACAGAATAGAGAAAAAAAGATGAAATATGGGACTTACTGTGCACTGCCAAGTGGACCATTGTATTTATATAAAGAGTCTTAGAAAAACAATATAGGAGAAAAGTAATAAAGAGGTTATTTTTAAAAAGCAGCTGAGAACTCCCCAGATGACAAGGTAACTAAACAAGAAGAAATACTGCCAAACAAAAGCCTTCAACGGGAATAATTTCACTTCAAAAAAAAAAAAAAAAACTAAGCCTTTCCAAAATAAATAAAAAGTTGAGTGTGTTATGAACCACTAGAACAGTCCTAAAGGAAATGTAAAAGAAAGTCTATCACGGCCAAAAATGAAATGATGCTGCACAGCATCATAAAAGTAAATGAAAATAGAAAGCTCTCTATTAAAGGTAAATATATAAACAGGTATAGAAATCTCTACTGTCATAATGATAGTACAGAAAACTTTCAAAATTTGCTATGGAGTTTAAAAAATGAAGCATAAATCTGCATAAATGTGTGTTCACAGATACTCAATAAGAAAACATAATATGTGATATTAATAACAAAGTGGGGGCATATAGAGGTACAGCTTTGTATTCCATTGAAATATAGTTGTTATATACTGTCATAACTTTAAGATGTTTTATGAAGTCTTTATTTCTCAAGATGATTACCAAAAAACCTGTAGAAGGTATGCAAAAGCAAATGAGAAATTGAACCATGTCACTACAAAACCAACAAACAAAAATGTTTTGCTAAATGTTTACTATGAGTCTCACCATCATCCTCTAGAATGTGGTATTGTAACTAAAACTCTTCAGGAAATTCTACTTAAAACTAAAATCACGTATATTTCAAGAAACTCTCTTGATTTGAAATGCCTCTGTCATGTGTTGTCTGCAATCAGAATTCCTCTTTTAAAGAAAGTAGAAAGGAGAGATGAGGAAACTGATAGTGTTACTGAATGGGAGATAGAGGTGAGGATGCACATTGTGGATGAAAACATGGAAGTTATTTCTACAACTCAATCTTGTAAGTATCTGACTGCTATGCTCCCTTGTGTATCAAATGATATACCTTTATTGCAAGAGAAGAAATTGCGCCGTTCACCTTGACATTGAGAGGCAATTTGGAATCTCTGTGGTGATTGCTTAAGACTGAGGATTTAATGTGCTATTTTGTGTAAAACTTAGAAACAGAAATGCGATTTAATGATCTGAACTATTATCCATCTGAAAAACCTAACTTGTGATTTTAAATAAAATGGCATGCTGCCCTCCACTAATCCCTTTTTAAAATAGGAGCTGCCCCTGCTTTTAACTTTATGAAGTTTAATCTATGAATAGATTGCATTATTAAAAATTTTTTTAAAATCCACATTGACTTGAAGTGTACAGGCAGAGTTGGAAACTATACCATCCAAAATTATAATACATAGGTAAAACCCAAAATAAAATCAACTGCTGCCCTGGAACCTATTCTAAATAATTGAGATAATTAAGACAGTAATATGGAATTGTAAAGAAAAATAAGAAAAACATTTCCTCACAAAATCTTGTATGCAAACTTTTTTTTTTTTTTTGAAACAGTTTCACTCTGTCACCAGGCTGAGATGCAGTGGCACGATGTCGGCTCATTTCAACCTCTGCCTCCTGGGTTCAAGCCATTTTCCTACCTCAGCCTTCACTGAGATCACAGGCACCTGCCACCACACTCAGCTACCTTGTATGCAAACTTCATGTATCATTTATAAAAAATTTTTTTTAGATAAGTACAATATTCTACTGTGACTTTGCATTCATGAAGTTTGGGTGTCTTGAATCTTTGACATGTAGTGTATGACAGTAAAATTTTACAGAAAATACACAATAACCATTAATAAAAGGCTCTAATAAGAGAATTTTAATGCATAAGAATTGAAAAGACACCATAAATAATTTCCGTTATATTTTTAATATACTGATGCTATTCTTACACAAAATAAAAAGGCTGAGTAAGTTGTGGTCGCTCACACCTGTAATCCCAGCACTTTGAGAGGCAGAGGTAGCAGATTGCTTAAGCCCAAGAGTTCACTACAAATCTGGGCAGCATTCGGCGATCCTGTATCTACAAATAACAATAATAAAAAATAGCCAAGTGAGTTAATATACGTTTATGGTCCCAGCTACCCAGTAGGCTCAGGCAGGAGAATTGCCTGAGTCTGAGTGGTCAAGCTACAGTGAGCTGTGATTGTGCCATTGCATTGCAGCCTGGGTGACACAGTGAGACCCTGTTTAAAACAAATAAAACTAAACTAACAATTAACCAGGTGTAGTGGCATGCACCTGTACTCCCAGCTACTTCAGAAGCTGAAGTTAGAGAATCATTTGAACCTGGAGTTTGAGTCTGCAAGGAGCCATAATTGAACTACTCAACTCCAGTTAGGGTGACAGAGCAAGGCCTTGTCATAGATAGATAGATAGATGATAGATAGATAGATAGATAAAATACAGCTAGAGAAAGAGTAAATTTAAAAAACAATGTAGTATGACATAATTTTTAAAATAAACTTTATGTGTATCACTTAGAAATTTATAGAACGGGCTGGGCGCGGTGGCTCACGCCTGTAATCCCAGCACTCTGGGAGGCCGAGGTGGGCAGGTCACGAGGTCAGGAGATCGAGATCATCCTGGATAACATGGTGAAAACCCGTCTCTACTAAAAATACAAAAAATTAGCCAGGCGTGGTGGTGGGAGCCTGTAGTCCCAGCTACTCAGGAGGCTGAGGCAGGAGAATGGCGTGAACCCGGGAGGCAGAGCTTGCAGTGAGCCGAGATTGCGCCACTGCACTCCAGCCTGGGTGACAGAGCAAGGCTCCATCTCAAAAAAAAAAAAAAAAAATTAGAAAAGAAAAGAAAAAATAAGTATATGGAACATAGCCAGAAGAATAAAAAACAACCTCTTAACAGTTTTTCTCAAAGAAAAAAAAAAAGTGAGTTTGAAGAGAAGGGAATAAAGGGGAGACTTTCAGTTTATTACGTTTTTATTTTTTGAGGCAGGATCTCACTTTGTTGCCCCGATGGAAGCACAGTGGCATGATTACAGCTCACTGCAAAGTTGGCCTCCCAGGCTCAAACAATCCTCCCACATCAGCCTCCCTAGTAGCTGGGAATACAGGTGTACATCACCACAGCTGGCTAATTTTCATATACTTTATGGATAGAGGGTTTTACCATGTTGCCCAGACTGGTCTTGAGCTTCTGGGCTCAAAAATTTCACCTGCCTTGGGCTCCCAAAGTGCTGGGATTGAGCCACTGAGTCAGCCAAGGATTTTTGTTTTGTTTTGTTTTTGAGATGGAGTCACATTCTGTTGTCCAGGCTAGAGTGCAGTGGCATGATCTCAGCTCACTGTAGCCTCTGCCTCCTGAGTTCAAGCGATTCTCCTGCCTCAGTCTCCTGGATAGCTGTGACTACAGGCACCCGCTACCACGCCCAGCTAATTTTTGTATTGTTTTTAGTAGAGACGGGGTTTCACCATGTTGGCCAGGCTGGTCTCAAATTCCTGGTCTCATAATCCTCCCGCCTGCGCCTCACAAAGTGCTGGAATTACAGACATGAGCCACCGCTCCCAGCCACCAACCAAGACTTTTACTTTATAAAGATATTTATGGCCGGGCGCGGTGGCTCAAGCCTGTAATCCCAGCACTTTGAGAGGCCGAGACGGGCGGATCACGAGGTCAGGAGATCGAAACCATCCTGGCTAACACGGTGAAACCCCGTCTCTATTAAGAAATACAAAAAACTAGCCAGGCGAGGTGGCGGGCGCCTGTAGTCCCAGCTACTCGGGAGGCTGAGGCAGGAGAATGGCATGAACCCGGGAGGCGGAGCTTGCAGTGAGCTGAGATCCGGCCACTGCACTCCAGCCTGGGCGACAGAGCGAGACTCCGTCTCAAAAAAAAAAAAAAAAAAAAAAAGATATTTATGATGTGTTCTTTTCTCTTTATAGTATGCATTTCATTTATAATTGTAGATACAAAAAAAAAGGTGATTGTTACTGTCTGGCATCAAGGCAGTAGTATTATCTTCATCAATATTTGCGCTTCATGAGTAGAAACCTGTAAGGGAAAGCCCAGAAAAACTCTAAGGCAAATAAATTATGCTTGCAAAAAGTGAGAGGATTATCTTTTTATAATAACCAATATTCCAGGTGAGAGCTGGTCACGATCTACCACTGCTCCATCTCACTCGATAACTCTCACACCTGCCAGGGTAAGAAGGAACAGAGAGAAGGAAAAATGCCAGTGAGTTTTCTTTCCCACTAAGGACCTATTTGGCAAATTTCCTATCATGAAGTAGAAGATGGACTAAGAATAAAACCTGTGCCCTTGCAGATGCTAGTAGAGATGCACAAAATAGAAAAGGAGGTAAGCCCACACACTGTGAAGGCAGAGATCCAAGTGTTAACATTAAGAAAGTAGTATCAGACTTCAAAATATGGGAAAGATATTTTGAATAATGTCAATGAGGCCAAGCACGACATGCCCAGCTTCATAATCAATCCCAGCAGCATTAGACTGAGGAGATCTACAGGTAACTATGCTTCTTCAACAAATTCCACTGGAGAGGAAGAGCGTGGAGTCTGACAACATGACACAAATGTCACTAGTGTACAGTGACTTAGGTAGTGGGAGTGGAATCCCTACATATTCTCTGAATTTCAGTTACACAGTGAGTTCCCAGGAAACAAATGGAATAGAAAAGGCAATACAAAAGATATAACTATAAATGGGGTGAGCATAGCAGGTTCACAATCACAAATATAAGCAGGAGACTCAAATCACAAGGAGCACCGAGATCTGTGA